CTTCCTTTATTCACTTTCTGTGTCTAATTAAGGTTCTTAATTAAAATCAATGCGAGTGTCTGTTCTCGTACTGGTTGTAGATGGAACAATTGACTGACTACTCGCTGATTGTCATTAATGTCTTCATTAAAAATTTTCTAAGATGGTGAAGTTTCGTCATATTGTGATATAATAAGTATATATTAAATCTTGTCCGTCTAATCACAATAATTCTTATTAAATATTAAAATAATTAACATATAAAATATTTAAAATATTAAATGATGTTCTTTATCGAAATATTCGATTTACATTAGAACATCATTTTTCAAAATAATTCTTATTAAATATTAAAATATTATAATAATTAACATTTAAAATATTTAAAATATTAATGGATGTTCTTTATCGAAATATTCGATTTACATTAGAACATCATTTTTCAAAATAATTCTTATTAAATATTAAAATATTATAATAATTAACATTTAAAATATTTAAAATATTAATGGATGTTCTTTATCGAAATATTCGATTTACATTAGACCATCATTTTTTCATGTTTCACGACATGTTTCAGTTCCTAAAAGAAATAAGAATTATTGTGATTAGAAGGACAAAATTTAATATATAAAATTTTTCTGTCTAACGAAATAACTCCGCGGGACAGAGAAGTTAAGAAAATTTGGTGTTCCAAAAATCCATGATTTACTGCTCGTTTTACCTTATTATTTCACGGCGATGTAAGAACTCTTATGATTATATAGCGGTGAAATGTTTATGGTAGGATGATTATGAATGAGTTTTATGTTTGGAGTAAACTCTTCATGACAGTTAAGGAAATTTTACCTACGTTTCTCTCTTAATGAAAAAAGCAGGTTCGTATGATCATTATGCTATTTGATTCCTGTTTGAGCTTTGAAACAATTGCGTGACTCATCCAAAACGTGATATGAACTGCGCTAATTCCTTGCAATCGGTAATAACAACATGGCTGCCGTGCGAAATAATTATATAAGCGTATTTAATCCAGGATACTGACCACGAATTACGTGTTAAATTTTCTGTTGCTGATAAGTTATAAACGCGTTTCGTTGTTGATTTATTGTAGCCGTGTCCATGACATATATTATTAATCTCGTGACGTATTTTTGTAGCATATCCTGATCATAATGAACTATGGATAATATAAGTGAGGTTAGAGTAACGTTACCCCGTCGAAAATACCTGATTGGATTATTATATATAAGTAAAATAAAACTATTATGGAAGAGAAGATATTTTTTAAATAATTATTTTAGTTACGTGATACATGTTTTACGTGACATAACTCAGAAACTCGAATGCCGTCTGTGAACTTGCAAAATTTCATCGACTTAACTAATGTAATGCAGCTGTTACGATGGTAATAATAGTATAATAGACAATTTAAAGATGTAACGTCCCGAGTTTATATAACTACGCCATGAAGAGATATGGTGGAATGGATGTTTAACTGTGCACATTTTAAGCTTACTTTCATTATCCGACCGCTTTGTCTCCAGAAAGAATTATCCCGGTAAAATCTCGACAAGGGGATGGGTTGGCCCCAAAGCCGGTCTGGACTCGGTGGCTATGATAAACAATTATCCCTGCCAGGAATCGAATCCAGACGCCCGTAACTTTACTGAGATATTCTGCCTCTTCGTTTGTCGCATTAATAAACAGTAACATTGCAGCTCATGACAGTATTGCCAACAAAACTGTCATAACGATGTCCTACAGCGAGTTGGGTAATAGGTTATAGGATTTGAGTCTGAAGATGGATGTCTTCTGGGTTGTTGCGACGTGAAGTCTGGTAGAAGTTTACGGACGTTTCTCGCCCTGATGATGGAGGCAGCAAGGACCTCGTCGGTAAACTTCTACTAGACTGCACCATGTTCAACGGAAAGCTAGTCTCGTCCCGTCGACTGTCTGGACAGGAACTCACTCACATTTTAAGCCCTTGTACGAGGGGACGTTCTCGATGGAAAAATACAAACTAACAGATCTGCACTTTAGGAAGAATGTATCAGGGCCTGGCTTAGAGCCATGTTCCATTGGCCCGGTGTCTATTTGGGCCACCAAACGCCGGGGAACGGTTACGTAACACACTGTTGATCGTTCGGTCGTAATGTTAGACGATCAATCCATCGGGTGACGGAACACAGCAGCTGTAAATGTAGAGTAACTTCCGTACAGCATCCTCAGCTACTATGCCCCAGTATCTGCATTGTTTTTAAAGTTTCGTTCTCACTTCTTCATCTATTTTTTTTATTTTATTTATAATTTTAATTCTTGATTGTTATATTTATTTAGTCCTCCGTCCTGATTCTTTATATTTTTTATTTATTTTTTAATATAGACAAGACTCCATCGCTAAATAAATCAATAATAACATAACCAAGACATTAAATTAATATTCCTAATAGATCGGTCATCAGTATAGAATTTATGGATGTTTTAATGAGGAACGATAAAAGTTAAAATTTCTCCTTTGTTTAGACAGCGGATTCACTTGTCTTGTTTCACGTAAGAGGTAGGACATTTGGGAGGAACCTCTGAAAGGTGATTCGTAACATCGCGAGGACTCCGTCATTGACGTCGATCTAATTCTTGGCGGAGTTTTAAAACCGTAATCTTAGTTCCTGGAAGGTATTTGAACGTGACGTAAAAATTAATGTGTGCAGTGTAACTGTTTGAATTACCATTCAAAATGTTCAGGATATAAGTTTTTTTATTATCGACAAATAAACACATATTTTGCAGAATAAATAGATGGAGTCGTATAAACACATTATGGCCCGGCCAAGGTTTCAAGAACAGAGGAAGATTTAATGCCGAGGAGGAATGTCAGTACATAAGAAGTTACAGTCCAGTTAAAAATGGACAAAATTTGACGACACGTAGAAGGAAGTTAAATACAATGTCTAAAATTATAACGATTTTCCTTTGAATCAACTGTAGATTTCTTAATGGTGCATTGTAGATATATATGCATTTAAATTTCCGTTGAACTTCAATGGGCATTGCTAGTATACAATATTTGTTACGCTTTTGAAATTATTACGTCAAAATTTACCCTTAAGAGAAATTTTTTTAGGAAGAATTTGTGGATGCTGACACGGTTTGAACCGTTTCCTTCCAAAATATGTAGAAGTTAGCGCTTAGGGTTGTTTTTATTATTATTACACATCATAATTATTTTATTTAATAAGTATAATACACAGACTACATTTAATACCGGATTACATTAATAATACTTATACTTTAATTAAGTTATTGTCAGGAGCGTAAATCAAAAATTTTATTTTGATAATGTGGCGTAGTTCAATTCTTTCTCGCAGGTAAACAGTTTTTATTTCCAACCAGTAACGCGGTCATACTTAAAACGGACACTCACTTCTCTATTACACCTTCCATGTCTGTCGATGACCGAGCAGCCATCTGTCAACATCGGATGTAACTAAGCAGCTGTCATTTGTTTTAATGAAGTTTGCTTATCGTTGGAATATTTCTAATTCTATATTTTACTACAATTAGTAAATTCTTAACGATGGACTGTCACCAAGGATATCAAGGAAAGACAAAGAATTCCAGACCATAAAAGTCGAACAAAATAATTTATGAAATTTAATTTTGTATAATGTAAAAGACGTCTCTTTTGAGGTGAGTAGTCGCTGTAGACATCTAGTCATGCTTGTTTTTCGTATCAAGTTTCTCTCGTGGCGCTTCCACAGCTGCCAACTCAGCTGACTGTCGTTACAATGAAAGTAGATGCTGAGAAATCCTGAGTCCATATTTGTCCAGTCTGTTCATCATGACCTCAATTCGTCACGTTTAGAGAACGAAAGCTACATCTTTGTAGTTCGTAGAATATCCGCTGCAGTCATAGATCGCGGGGCTGTCCCACATTCCTCAAACTGCCGAGTAGTGTCGTAAGAACGCACGATTCAAATGGCCGAAACTAGATGGTGCTGGGAAGAATGGAATTAAAGTTGGATGACGCAATGACAAATAGATGGAATTGAAGAAGAGTGGATAGCAGAATATGGGCTGTTGGGGAGACAATTTGGAATAGAATTAAAACCGACGTTTATGACAACAGTACTTTTTTCCCTTCAGAATAGTTTTCTTGCGTGAGTTTACCTGTGCTTTGTACAGGGTGTTCGAAAAGTCACGAAACTCTTATTAAAATATGATTGATGGTTGTAGATCAGCACAGGTGGATTAAATTAATAACACATAATATTTCTGTGATTATACAAGAGCTCATGTAGGTCACGTCATGTTATAACCTGCTCCAAACTTTGCAAAGGGCTCCAATAAGGAAAGCCGATTATATAAAATATATGAATGTTTACTGGTTTTTAATTTATGGCTAAGGACACGGAATGAGGCAGAACAAAACCTAAGATTCTGAACGTTCTTAGGCAGCGTGCTAATAATATAGTCCTACCAAAACCCGGGGCGCACAGAATGACACGCGTCTCGAAGAATGTCGAGTTTCTGGTGTCAAGAAATGTCACCGGGCGACGTCGTCAGTGTCTTCGAAAAAGAAGGAGACAAAACAATGTTGGAAAGATGCGTCAGTATATACATTTTGGATTGCAAATATTTCGCAAACGCGTTCTTTGCGATTCTGCATAAATCTTTGGCAAAAAATACTGATTTCATTGAAGATAATAATATATTGTTTCTATCATATTGCGTATAAATATTATATAGGTAAAAATATTCAGAATTTTCAGAGCATATCAGAGATTCTATTCTACAAAATGGACACTCATATGGCACCTTGGAAGATACAATGAAAATTCTCCAAGAGCCTAAAATGGACAATTACATAAGCGCATTAGAAAAATATCACACATACAACATTATTTTAAAAAAGGTATTAATTTCAATGAAATAAATCTCGATAGCAACAACCCCTTTTTTTAAATCCTGATAACTCCAATGAAACCTAAAGGCCTTTCTCTTTATCCACCACCATTATCGTCATCCCTTCTCCAACTCTCTCCTACCCTCATTTATCCCTCAATATCAACCAACCCCTTCAGTTCAGCTACAGGTTTCAACCGGTAACTACACACCTGCGTAGTCCACTCTACTAAAACAGGTAAGCTTCTTAAGACACAGTCCATTACGTGACTAAGTCAACAACAGAAAACGTGTATACAAATAAGCAGTCTTATCAATTAGTTTCGAACAATTAAGGAGTGCAGTGAATTCTTAATAAACAATTAAAATATAATCAAGAATTTTGTAGACGGACTGTCCACCTAACGCACTGCGTTTACTTATGAAGCAGATTCCCTTGTATTTCGTTAAATATAAACGATATTGAAAATAGCACAAATTAGAGTTACAGGTTTCAGCGTGATCTTTGTTTCTTAGTATTTACCAGAGTTCAAACACGGCAATACTTCCAGATAGACGTAACTCCTCCACAACTTCATTTCTGGATGATACAAAAACAATAACAAAACGTTCACCCACACAAAATCATGTTAAGCACGACGTACATATACAGAACAACTTCGAATACGATATTAAAAATACAATAAATCTAGAATAAAACATCATTTGAAAATCTGATAAACATCTGACTAAAAGTTGCATTTAAGAAATTATATTTAAGTTTATATAATTTTATACACCTGAAGATGGTTCTTTTAGAACTGAAACATGTCTTGTAAAAAGTGATTATCTAATGTAAATCTAACATTTCGATAGAGAACGTCATTTAATATATTTTAAATATTTAAATGTTAATTATAATAATATTTTAATATTTAATAGGAATTTTATTGTGATTAGACTGACAAGATTTAAACAAATATTTAAACAAATATAGTATTTACCAGTTTATGCGATACTTGGGGAGAAAATGAAAGGTGTTTACAAGTTTCGTTTGAAGTATGGACCGATGTTAAATGGGCCCGGTAACTTGTGATGTGTTTTTCCATTACCATACTTGATAAAATCTGGTTGAACGGTTTCTGAAATAAATCAGTACGAATTTTGTGCAAATAAATCACAGTTATAAGTAATACTCCTCTTCGTTGGATCTTCTGTTTCTGAACTGTTTCATAACTTCGACAAATAATAAATTATCGTCAGTAATTTGCAGAGTTTATCACCTTAATTTCACATTAAAATCTGTACCCCTTGGTTCGCTAAATACTTTCGAGAATTCACTCTGCTAAAAACAGTCTCTGGATAATGTAACGCACCTAGAATATATAATTCGTTTTATTGAACAGGTGTCCTTTGGATGAGTAATTTGTGTTTCTGCTCTGATATTAACTTGTTTTGATGCTATATAAGGACACATTTTTATTACAAAGTCTTCAAAAGGCGATCTTGAATTTTGAACGTAAAAGATTTGGAAGGGGACTGTCTTAACTGTTATGTGAGCGACAAAGCCAACTCTTGTTTATAAATCCTCAGGTACGGTTTTCATCTCATCGCACGCTATAGGACGTCTGTAGTTAAACTAGAGTTGTTATATAATTAATAAGTTGAATTCTTCCCAAGAACTTGCTTTAAGATTATAATTAAATAGAATTTTGATGTTGAAGAAAATAGAAGAACTTCGATTCTTTTAATGACGAACGAGACAAATTGCCTTGAAACCTAACTCTCTTAGACTAATTAGGTCTGTTATATTCTGGTATCAGTCGAAATAAACCTTGACTAAAATTTTTTAACCTCCAAAGTCATTTGCGTATTTTTAACTATGTAAATTACATGATACCATAACAAATGTATTAATCAAATTAAATTTTAAATATATCATTCTGTATGGAAATTGTTAAAAGATACATTCCAATTACTGCACGTTCTGTAAACGTAACTAAGGACAAAATTCTTCTAGTTGGTTGTTGGAAATGAATATAAATGATAAATTTTCAAGAAGGAAATATCAAATAGTGCGGGATGTCAGTTAACTGGGACCATAACTTAAAAAACTTAGGGTCTATATTACTTATTCGATAGATGACATAGCAAGACGTAGATTTCTGAAATCTGTATTTGAATCTCAGCCATGTTTCCTCTATTTTCTTTATTTTATTCCTTCTTACATCTTCTCTTTCCTTTCTCTTTCCTTCCTCGCTTTCGTATCTCTTTCTTTCGTCATGTGTTTCCTCTCAAAGACGTCCTGGATGTGTTGGTGAGACGACAAACCGAACGCCTAACATTAACCTAAAAATAGATTCCGAACAAAGTTTAGCTAACAGGGATATTTTTTCTGTTCAGAACTTGCGTAGTAGAAGTGTACATTAAACTAAGACAGACAGCCTCCCTCCGCCTTCTGTCTCTCACTCTCAACTTCACTCTTTGGACCATCGGGTACCGTGGCCTAACTCCAGCTTTTCATAATTACATCTAGAAGATCAAACGAAATGTATCACGTCGACTCCAAACTAATGGTTCCGCTTATTCTGGCAACTGCAACTTTGCCACTGAATCTAAATGAATCGCTCCTTTCCACAACATAATCTCGGTAACGTACATAGGACGAGGTATCAGATCACAGTAACTTTACTGCGTAATAAATGAGGCAAAGCTTGAAGTGTTATAAAACAAGTCGTGGGAAGATCTTGTGACGGATGTTAGGTTTCTAAATGGTTAGCAACTGCTTCTACCCTGATATATATATATATATATATATTTTTTTTTTTTTTGTAGCTTAAATGCGTCATGTTTGTGTTGATTAAATATATATTTATTTTCACAGTCCATACACAAACGTTGTAGTTAAATGATGTTGTTAAAATTATATAATATTAAAACATTATGTAGTATAAAATAT